CTCACCGTTGACTGCACGATTTCGAGTTGTTTTCCGATGTCCCGATGAGAGAGCTGACGATTTTCCAGGTGGTTGCGCAAAATCAATTTGCGACGTTGCTTTTCGGGTGCAGGAAATCAACAAAATGCTATCTTCCGATGCTTACCGACGATAAAAAATCTAGTTAACGGAATCATGATCAGTGTCGGTAAGATCATGGATTATCATTTGTGTTACACATCATGATCAGCAACAAAAACGATAATCTACTGATATGATAACAATCACTTTGTAATGTATCTCAAAATCTAGGAACTTGCTGTCTTCGGAAAAGTTGTTCTAGAGGTCAAATACCCTACGGTACGAATATTTTCAGAACCGGGATGACACATATATTTCGAAAATCAATGTAGGTCGCCATTTTGAAATCCGTCATCTAGGCCGTAGGTTTCGGAAAAAAAAACCGTCAAATACCCTACAATATGGGTATTTCTGGAACTGGAATAATGTGCAGATGTTGAAAATCGACGTTAACCACCATTTTGGAATCCAATTTTAGACATCTACACGTCATTCCGGTTTCGAAAATGCCCACATTGTAGGGAAAAAGTTGTTTCTAAAATCAATAGCCGCCATCTTGGATTCCCAAATAGCGGCAGACATTAATTTTCTACATCTGCATGCCATCCCTGTTCCGAAAATACCCACATTGCAGGGTAATCTTGCATTTCCAAATGGTGGCGGACATCAATTTTCGACAGTTTTTCTTAAATCGATGGCCACCATCTTGGATTTCATAATGGCGGCAAACATCGATTCTCGATCTCTATACATCATCCCCATTCCGAAAATTCACATACTATAGGATATTTGATTAGCCTTAAATGGGGAAATTTCAGTGACGACCGCTGATGATGATGATCTGAGATTATCGCTATTTCATATGATCATGATCTGTTACACAAATGATAATCGCATTATCGTTTCCAGAACTGTCCATTATGATTTACGGATTTGTACTAATCATGAGTGTAACCAAAATGAGAATGCCATTATCTTTATCTGAATCGTTTATTTTGATTCCCTGTTCGGGTGACGCTATTTTTTACAACTTTCGAAAAATTGACATCGATATAAATACAGTGTAAACAATACACTCTAAACTACTTCTACCCATATTTTTAAGAGAAAATACCTAATGGGTAATTTTCTACAGCGTTTTTTTTCCGTGATGCAATTTGATGTGGGACACCCTTTAGCTTCATTTATAGAACTTTGAGTTGAAAATAGCTGGAAGTGTCTATACATGACCATGGGGATGCAAAGAGAAAATCTGTCAATGTTACTTAGGACCTAATGCATTGTGCGGCTTGCTATTACTTGACTTGACAGTTCGTTATATGTGGGGTCGTGAGATGATCTATTTGGCTTAATTAGTATTCTAAAAGCTTCGTGATTTATGTTATCTGGATCAACCGGATATAAAACACTGTCTCTTTCATCCTCATCAGTTCTTACGCGAGAAGTGAATGTGACGTCAACAATGTGTTTACGTTTGAGTTATAAGGAGTGCCGAACCTTTGTAGATCGAGGTTAATCTTCGATAGGATGAAGTTGCTTCCATCTATAGACCCAATTTTAGTACATCAGATCAACATTACATCCACGTACCTGGAATGTTTTCATGTTAAAATTGTGTGATTAAAGAATTTTCTGTCGTGCCTAATCAATATCCAAATAATATGAATATCTAATCTTACATGTTGACAGTGAAATATCGACTGCAGGTCAATTATTACATAGGATACGTTATCAAATGTAATTAAGGGCTTCATATTAGACCGAGGTTAGGGAAATGTACTCTATTCGACATTTGAAGGACCACCCTTTTTGCAACTTTCATCAAATTAAAAGCATTATTATAAACAACAATTTCACATAAGATACTATAGAGATTAGTGACGTTTAACGCACGCACACCAACGGGAGTCTATTGCCATGTAAAGTTTTTTATTATTTTCCTCGGGCTAACCTTAAAATGTAAGTAATTCGATCGGTCAAAATGAGTTTGACAGCGGTTTGTTTTTTTTCCGGATTTTCATTAATATAGTTTCACATGGCGCACCAATACAACCGGACGAGAAAATCTCTATGCTTGTAAAGTTTTCTGGGTCAAAATATGTATGTTCTACTGATTCCTCATTCCTGGACTACTATGTACTGGCTTGATGTATTGCAGCAGTCTTGAAAAATTGGTTTTCTGTGGCAGTGGATTAGATTGTTCACCACTTCCCAAGTAACCAAAAGTTCCGCATTCAACATACAACATTTAATATGTTGTGTGTCATATTAAAGTCAGTTAACTGGCACTGAAAACTCCAACAGTAGGCGGGACAACAGCTCACTTTATTATATCTCAGATGACGTAGCGGTTCGTGCTGGGGTTCTCACGCAGAAGGACTGGGTTTATGGTTCAATTTACTTTGAAGCATTTTTGCAAAAAGCTCGCGTCATTTTGTGTAAAATATCAAAAGGAATCGAATAGTGCGAGCTTTTTGCAATCTGAAATAATGCGTCGGAAAAAAACTGCTTTTGAAATTTTCTAAAAAGCATCAAAGTAAAATGAACCTTAATTCTTCAAACAGCTCCAATTCTACTGCTAATGCTGATAAATCAATACACGTTCATACCTGCCTTTAGAAATAACTTTCATGAAGACCTGCCGTTAGAAATAACTTTCATAAAAGTGCGAACTAAATATAGAATTGGTGTAGAGGACAAAAACCTTTCCTAATTTATTTTCTAAAAGTTCCGTTCAAGTTCCGCCAGAAGCTGCTTAGAATGCTCTTCAATTATGGTACCGGAACTTTCAAGTTCTTATAACGACTTAAAAATGAGGCTGCTTAGAATTCTATAGACCACCTTCAACCAAGCTGCTTAAGCCACAAATAGCCTTTCATCAGAACTTTTGGTTACTTGGGTCTGGTTCCATGAATAACAATTTAAGTTTGAACTAGTTTTCGAGTTATTTTTTTTTTATATTTTAGAATTTTATTTAATTAAGGGAAGAACGCAGATACACACTGATGTTTAACTGTTTCAATGCATATGTTGATGGTGAAATGAAAGCGTATTAGAGCGAAGTACGTTCTAAAAGAGTCCAGCATACATCATATACAATAAATCAATGCAGAAAACATTAAGTTATTAAAACCTATTTTTAGGGTGTATATTGAATAAACTGTCATATTGTTCGACAAAGTTGTAGAACTGGTTATTTGAATCAGGGGTATCTTAATGTGATCCCTAAAAATTGGTATAATTATATTAACTTTTTCTCCATTATTTGATCGCAAATTCTAAACCTTTTTATCCTATAGTATATCCTTAAAACTAAACTGAGGCAAAAGAACGTATCAATTTCTTAAGAACCACTCATGAATTTTAGTCACGAGAAATCGGTATGAATGTATATGTCACTAGCTGAACCCCGTGCGAGCGTTACTACGCTTGCAACTAAGGAACAAAAATTTAATAGAATAGTTATGCAGTTTCATTTGTATGGAAGACCTTACAGAAGGGGGAGGGGTCTCGAACCATCATAAGAACGTTTCCCGGCCCCAAAAACCCCTGGACACAAATTTTTATGCCAATCGGTTTAGTAGTTTCCGAGTCTATAAGGGTCAGACAGCAGACAGAAATTCATTTTTATATAAATCTATCTATCTTTGTATATAAAAATGAATTTTTGTCTGTCTGTCTGTCTGACCCTTATAGACTCGGAAACTACTTAACCGATCGGCGTGACAATTTGTATGCAGGGAAAGGTTCTTATGATGGTTCGAGACCCCTCCCCCCTCTGAAAAGGGTGGCTCCCATACAAATGAAACATAAATTTCTGCATAACTCGAGAACTAATCAAGCAAATGGAACCAAATTTGGCATGTGGAAGTCGTAGGGGGTAGCCAGAGGGGGGGGGGGGGGCTACGTACAATATATTATGCTTTTTTTTTAATCGGCGCATAAACTCAAGCTAATATTGAATCGCACTTAGCTAGTAGATTATAAAACCGAGCAGACTGAAACCGAGCCATGGATATTGAAATTACGAGGCCCGTGCGTTGACCACTCGTCTTTCAACGATTGGTATAATGAAATGGTTGAAGGCGTTTAAGAGCTACCACATGTTAGACAAAAATCATGCATAAGTCACCCTTATGAAGTTCTTGTATGTGGTTTATAAGTCGGGCCTTATAAAATTCTTAAGTTTATTTGCCACAGTGACTATAGAAAATAATTATAAGCATTACCACTATAGCTCTTTCAGCAAAGTTTTTTTTTATTAATTCTGAAATCTATAACGATGTAGAAGGTTCCTTCATGATATAATCTGAAATGAAACAGATAAATATGAAATTTTATCATTTTAAGGACCACCCTATTGGCAATTTTCATCCAAAAGTAACGACCTTATTAAAAGCAACAACTCAACTGCGTTGCAATTTCTGGGGCAAAATATTTATTTCCTCTCAATTTTCTTTCCTAGACCATTGTGCTGTGGAAAAACGTAACACGTGAACTGCACCCGTTGGCATTTTGAATGGAACGTAAAAACCACGTTTCACAATTTCTACATTAGCTGCATAGGTACCTACGTACATGTGCTAGTTGTCGATCAGCTGTTGGCTACTTATCCGTCCGAGCTTCATCTGCTGACCGCAGCAGAAAGTTCGTCTGCATCCAACCTGTGCCGAGTCAAAAGCAGAAAAGAACTATAAATTCCCAATCAAAACCTTGACCATCAGAGCCGGAGCTGGACACGATTGCTTTCGCGATCGGTGTGTGAGTGACTGAGTTGTCGTGCAGGAGTAGAAAAGCGACCTAAGCAATAACAATAGTAACAATTAGTTCGTATTGACCGACCGAGTACTTTATTTAATTTATCTTAATTGATTTTGTGCAAAAAAAACAGCCACACACACTCACCGTGTTGCCGACGGAGTAGTATCCGGCCGGTATAGATGCAAACCACAGTTGAGTTTCGGTGATATCTCAACGTGTTCGAACGTCAGCCAGTGCCGATTGTGCCCTCGCCGGGAGAAGATACCCAAGTGATAGATCTGACACCCGGTCAGATACAAGCTGCTGTCGTGTGATCTATCTCTATTTCACGGAAGAAAAGGTCATTTTGATCAGTGCACCATCGATCGGTTCATATATCTAGCAGTGGAAACGTCGATTTGTGAATGAACCCCCGAGTGACGGATGTAATCTAACAATAGTGCAATTTCTGTCTGTGTCTGCAAGCGTGGATAGTGTTGAGGTTGCATTTCAGCTGGAACAGTTTTTTTTTTTTTTTTCGATTTGCTTTTCCTCCTCACCGTGGAAGCTTTTACCATTTTTTGTTGCATCTTTCCATACCATCGCGCAGCATCCATCGTTCGCTCGTTCATTCAACTGCCCATCTCGCTTCCGTTCTGTTATACACATTTTTGCAGTGGTTTTCGCAATAAATTCGTTCGACTTTATTTAGGTATGTATGTTAGGTTATTTATTTTACCTTTTCTTACCCGCCATCCACACTCTACCGTCTTTCTTCATGATTTGTTTTCTTCCGTTCACTTTAGCAAACGTCATTTCGTTCATCCACCTCCCAGCAGGTGTTGGCTTTCCCATATTCGTCATAGGGGAATGAAGGGTCACTGATGGATCCAAGAATTTCAAGTGCTGACGGGGATCATGTCAAATGTTTAACTTGCGAATCTTTTTTTTTTATATGCCAATCAAGAAAAAATCCCCCTCCTTAGGGCTGTCCATCAGCCATGCACAGTGGGGCAGTGCGGTCGATTGCTTGGCCAAAACCTCTAGCGCCGTGGTATGCTTAATAAACATTTTCAGTCTTCGACTTTTGGTCGAAGCGCTGGACACCACTGGACACCACTCACCATCCCTCTCCAAAGGGAGAGGGCTTTGTAAATGAATAAATGGCTACTGTGATTAAAAATAAGCATCGGAAATTGGCTCAAAATCCGAAAAAGATTTTGACAGTTTCCACATTTCGTCGAGAAAGTATAAATGTTCCTAAAAATCGCAATAATTTGACAATACATTTTATTGTACTAGAAAATCTACAATGAAATTTATTGTAATTTTGTTGTTTTACACTAAGGTTATTTTTTCGGATAGGGTTACACTAAACCCTCTAACAAATTAATATGATGTCCCATTTTTCACCATTTCGCCCCATTTTGGTTAACAATTGACATTTTCTTACACAACTGTTTTACAACGTCACCGCCTAAATATTAGAAAAATCAACGAAATGAGGTGTTAAACATCGAGATAGCGTTTTCAAATGTTTCTTGAGTTATTTTCAACATGATCCTTGCACAAAAATAATGCCACCTGCTCAGGTTGGTAGTATATGAGTAAAATGTGAATAAAATTTCAATGCATAAAGGGGGCGGTACCTTAAAAACGTGACGTATTAGAGGATAAGTATTGCGCATTTCACACCAAATTGGACTAATCAGCGCGTTTTCACTTATTAAAAAGTGTTATAAAATTGTGAGTTTACGTCTAATCGTCTTGGTGTCTACGGTGCACTTATTTCTTATGCTGCTAGCAATAAGTGCTCCAAAGCAGGGTTACTTCCACTCACTTGTTATAAAAAAACGTTTTTCAGAATTATTAAATCATTAGATGTTATAATGATAATTACTACTTGTAAGTTACAAGAAGAGGTCGTGAAGTATGTGTTTGACACAAAAAATCTGTCAATATTGCTTTCAGTGCGCCACAATCAGCAATTTTACGATTCGTGAACGCTCACTCTGAGTGAACGCTCACGAATCATAAGATCGCTGATTGTGACGCTCTGAAAGTGAAATTGACAAGTTTTATGAGTCAAACACATACTTTACACCCTTTTCTAGTTACGTACAAGTACAACATATCATTGTATTATCTAACGATCTCAGAATTCTGAAAAACCATTTTTTATAGCAAGTGAGTGGAAGCAACCCTGAAGACATCAAAACGATTTGACGGAAACGTGCACTTTTATCACACTTTTTTGCATTTTTGTGACAGTCCAGTTTCAGATGCAATCAGCAATATATTCAAGACGTTGTTGACTTAAAAGATTAAATGTACACACTAAGATTATTTCACAGATTTTTGTGAAATTTTACCGAACCTTAACAGCTGTACAGCTGTGGAACTGTTTTCCGAAATCTGTGAAATAATCTTAAATAAATACGTTTTTTTTTTGTCTTCCTTATCGAGATTTTCAGCAGCTTATTATTCAATCTTTTAAATTTGTCGAACCTCATAACAGAATTCCTTTATGAAGAGCTTTGAGTGTGTTGGTTTATTTCCTTTTAATTCCGTTATAATTGCTTATCTTATGACAGATACGCGTATTTCGTATACTACTTGCAGACTTAATCAGGGCCAAGTACTGAACACCACTTATTATTAAAATTTGACTTTTATAGTTCATTTTTTCCCTTTTTCCAGTTCATGTATTTAGAAGGCTCAATTGCGTTAGCTTTGCAGAGCCGATATTTCATTGATTGTAGTGTAACAAAACAGTTCGAAAAGTAGTTTAAATGTCGTTTCAATATACAATATTACATTACAGATAATGTATAGTTAGAAGATATATAATTAGGTATTGCAAATATTGTATACCCGTCTATCTTTGTTAAAAATATTTCTTGCAAGTTGGTAGTTTGTGTAATAAGAAGTTTTATACGCATGGATGATTAGTAATTGATTACACCACCAGTAAGATTCAGAAGTTTTTTTTCTGATAAGAATAACTTAATACTACATACTTAGAAATAACTGCTTTTACACGAGACGTAATCCATTTTGGACGTAAATCATGGAACGTAAACAAACAATTCATGTAAAATTAAGTGCTCTCAAACCGAAACATAAGCAAGTCGACGAAGAGAACATTTGATTGAATTGATTTTCTCGTTTCTTTTAACTGATTATTATGTCAAAAGGGCCGCTTACATGTGTCGGTCTCAGAGAACCGAAATTTACATGACTTTTTAGTAGTGTGTACGTCTAATAGGGCTGGATCGATTACTCACCGTTTACTCGAGGTCAGTCTTGTAAGCGGTCACGGTAGTCGACACAATTTCTGTGCTAATCGACTGCTTTTGCCTCCGACATTTGCCAAATGTACAGTACCAAACTAAAATGTCATATGACATTCTCTGTCATACGACACTGTCACCGAAGACCGTCACAAATGTATGTATTTTAGTTTTTGTCATAATAAGAGCTGCTGATATTGTGCTTGTGTGAATTCTGAAAATAACAGGCAACGATGTCCTTGTAATAACATTTCTGATCAGAAATGGTTTAATTTACACCAAATTGAGGAATTACAACGAAATCACACATGTCATATGATAGTTATTTGATAATTTTCTTTTTGTTCGAATGTTATTCTACCGTTTGTGTTGTGTGAACGAAGCGAGTGTAGTAAAAATCGTCAACTGTTTCAACCCCTGCTCGAGGTTAAAAGGAGTAAATATGTTGAGTGAAGGATCAGGCGAGGAGCAAGAAAATGGGGTATCGTTGTATCATCAGAGATTTGTCACCAGCACTATAACGATGTGCATTGTGACAAGGGTTCGAGTCAGGTGTTCGAGCGCCTGCCAACGGTGGACGACGATCAGACTAATCGAATCGAGGGGAAAAGACAAACACTAATTAATAAAAGATTAAAATACAAAGGGATTAAATTCTTAAAGGGTAGGTGTACCAGTAACGGCTATACGTTCCATTTATGGTGTGTTCTAATTATGGCCTACGGGAATTCCATAGGCCATAATTGGAACACACTATTTTAGGAGGGAACTAGCTATTTGAAGAAACACATAAATTTGCATCTCAGTATCTTCTCATTTTTTAATTTAAAATCGATCAACCGTAGAAAACAATCAACTATTTATAACAGAGATTGCGTTGGTGATTATAATAGAATTATGAATAGAAATTATATAGTCCGCAACTTTGTCGAAGACCGAAAGACAATTTAAGTTGATTGTTGTGGGGCGAAAATCACCAACTCCCGACAGCTACACGTATTTGTGGTGAAATGCTTCAAGTAGCATGTATTTATTCTAATTATTATTATTTCTCTGATCATATTTCTTACAACTTACAATTTTGGTGAATCCTTACAAAAAGGCAGAATTTTATCGCGACCAATGCTTTTATTTTTCTAGATAGTTCAGGTATATGGTAAAGGTTCCAGAATATTAGGTTAGGTATTTGTAGTCCATATTTTGAGGTATTTTAGCGCCTCTACTCACATTATCTGGCGTAATTTATACGTTCTTCGTATAATCTTCTTAGTTCAGCGCAATACAGAAGATTTTAATCTAGAATTGTTCAAGTTCGGTATGATCATCTATTAAATTTATCAAGGAGTTCACGTTTACCTTATTGCATGAATAGATTTAGGAATATAGAGTAAGCAATTCAATTTCAATGAGCCCCGTAACGTGGGTAGATCACCTTTTCGTGGTACGTTACGGGATGTAAGATCTACCACCGATTTCTTGTCCTGACTACTTCAAAACTAGAGGAACAGGGTTTTTTTGTAATCCGAGGAACACATCTTAGTCCTTGTTGATAGTGACAAGACTCGGCTTTGTCCACCGAGGATTATCTTGAAACAAGGAAAAAATTAGTAAGTAAGTCTACATCTATGTGATTCCTAATTTTCTATTCGTTGTTCCCTAGTTTTAAGTGGTTTAGACTAGGGTTCTGATGCATGGTCATTATCGGTGTCATTCCTTAATTTTGCTGCTAAGGAGTCCAATGTTGACTGACAAAGGGGCGCGCCTTTGGAGGGTGTTCCAACACTCCGAAGGGTATAAAGAGCGGGACCTTTCAATTAAAGTCGAATCTTTGCGATAAATGCGAGAATGACAACTTACTTCATCATTTCTCAATAGTGATGGAGTAATGCAACATGCACTAAACTAAGGACACGGTATATACTACAATAGATCAAATTACTGGTCGCAGTAGTGTTAGGTCCCGTACAGAGGAAAAAAAATTCAATGAGGTTAATTGTCAACAATAGAATGTATTGTATTTTTATTGAAATTGTATAGTTATTTTTATATAGGCTGTAAAAGCACTAAGTATGAAATATGTACACCCATTTTTCTCATAATCAAAAGAATCGCTCCTAGCGAATCCTTTTTTCCTACCTTCTTCCGTATGACCGACGACGTTTCAATGCATTTGGACGGAATTGAAACCAGTATAACGGAATTGTAATCACAAGGCAGTGTTAGAATTTTAACAATAGATCAACAAATTGTAACAATTTATCAAACGTTTGCATACCCTAATAAATTTGGTATGGTTATTTTCCTTAACGACGTGTTTGGGTTATCATCCAAACTATTTGTGGAAAAGTTTGACGACTTGGATTGTTCTTTGTTTATGGTATTTGTTTATTAAATTCAGAAGTCATCTTTGGTAGAAAGA